TTTCCCCCCCCCCCCCTTCGGCCATAACGGATTAATCGCGTTTCCAATGAATCTTACAGGGGTTTTTTTGGTTGTGATTCTTTTTCTAAATCTGGAACGGATTAATTGCATTTCAATGCATTCCTATGGGAAATGATGCTTTGACTTATGACCATTTCGACTTACAAACTTAATTGGTTCCAGAACTCCAGTTGTAAGTCGAGGCGTCACTGTACCACCATCTTCCATTTTCTCTGTTTTGGTGGTGAGAGAGTTTTTCTCATTCCTGCATTCACCTCAGTTTGCCTACATATTTTGACTCCCCCCCCCCCGAAAAAAGCACAGGATAGAAAGCACTCCAATGGCAACAGATTTGTTGGTAGAACTTTCGTCTCAACTGGATTTTGTGTGTGGTTTTTGCATTATAAAAACACCAGGTGTACACGGCAGGTGCCTGGATTCAAGAACGTTGCTCAGATGGCAAAGGTAAAGGTTCCCCTTGACATTTAGTCCAGTTGTGTCCAACGCTAGGGCGCGGTGCTCACCCCCGTCTCCAAGCCGTAGAGCCAGCATTTGTCCGAAGACGGTTTCTGTGGTCACATGGCCAGTGCGACTGGACACGGAACGCCATTACCTTCCCACTGAGGTGGTACCTATTTATCTACTCGCATTTTTACATGCTTTCGAACTGCTAGGTTGCTCAGATGACAATCCCTCAAAACAACTACAGTATTTTGCAAACCTACACAACAAAGCATGATCTGTGGCATACTAATACAATCTGTCCACCTGGACGATCATTAAGTTTCCCTCCCAATCCAAGCCAGAGGTTAACTGCATACAGATGCTTCTTGCTGCCTTCACTTAACGAAAATACGCTGCCCTCGATATATCAAAAAGCAAAACTCGTCAGCATCAAAACCTTCACATAAAATCGGCCCTACGCTAGACAAAGCATGATCTGTGGCATACTAATACAATCTGTCCACCTGGACGATCATTAAGTTTCCCTCCCAATCCAAGCCAGAGGTTAACTGCATACAGATGCTTCTTGCTGCCTTCACTTAACGAAAATACGCTGCCCTCGATATATCAAAAAGCAAAACTCGTCAGCATCAAAACCTTCACATAAAATCGGCCCTACGCTAGAAAGTGCAGGAGCTCT